CCTTTCAGCTTGGTGTCATCTGCAGACTTGTTGAGGGTTCACTTGATCCCACTGTCTACTTCACTGATGAAGATATTAAACAGTACTGGTCCCCATATGGACCCCTGGGGGACACCACTCGTCACTGATCTCCATCTGGAAGTTGAGATATTGGTCGTTACCCTCTGGATGTGACCATCCAACCTATTCCTCATCCACCAAACAGTCCATCCATCAAACCCATCTCTCGACAATTTAGGGAGAAGGATGTTGTGAGGGACCATATCAAAGGCCTTACAGAAGTCCAGATAGATGACATCCATAGCTCTTTCCTTGTCATGGCCTTACCTGTGTTTTATATCTCACTCTTGATAAATTCATTTGATACTCATTAGTTTTTGTATTATGACAGAGTGAATAATTGTTCTCTAAGCGTTTCCAGGCTATTCATAGTTTTGTAGACTTTGGTCAAATTGCCTCCCATTTATCTCTTTTGGAAGTTGAATAGTTCATTTATTTGGTGCTTGTATGAAAAATGTTTCATAGTTTTCTTTGATCACCATTATAGCTATTCTGAGAATAGCACCCAGTGTTAAAGTTGCGGAGACAATTTATAGTGGCCTAATAGCATTATTTGTTATGCTGTTTAATTCTTTCCTAATAATTTCTACTGCTGTAATTGAGGGTTTTGATAGAATGTGAAGACTGAGCTTCTGTTCTCACAGACCTCTTCACTGATACCCCCAGACTCCTTTCCTGAAAGGGATTATCTACTCAGAGTGGATTGTTCTGCCTGTTACACTGGAATTGCTTTTCTCCATCTGTATTTTTTTTTCATACATCGCCACTGATTTTCACCCATTATTTTACTGCTCAGGTAGTCAGCATTACAAAATCCTTTTACAGATCTTCATAGCTGGCTTTTGGTTTCATCATTCTGAATACCTTACTGCCACCAGCAAACTTTGTCACCTATCTTTCCTTCCTTATTTCCAAATCATTAATGAATAAATTGAACAGCACAAAGCATCAGGGAAATTCCAGATTAACACTTCTTTCCATTGAGGAAATTGAAAGATTTTTCCCTAACCTTTGATGCTGCTGATGATTTAACCATAAATTAGTCTATGGAAAGGCCTTTTATCCCTTGGCAATTTCAGATCCTTTGGCAAGGGAACCCCTCAAGAATCCCATTAATCTTGATAGATTTAAGGTGTGATTTTCATGTGCAAAAGGCATGTTGATTCCTCAGTGATGTCCAGAATATACTTGTCCAGAAACAAGTGTTAGCTAGGAAAGCAGTAATATGTTGTATGAGGCACTGTAGAAACAGAGCAAGATGGCTCCTTTGAGGAGCTCACATTTAAGGAAATCCAGCATACTTTCTACAGTGAAATCAGAAATTATAAAGTAGTTTCTTTCCAATCTGTTATCTTAGATATTCTTAGATATTAAAGTTTATGACTACTGAACTTAGATTCCCTTTGTTATTGTCGTGGGTTTTATTTTCCATGCTTTTCCTGTGTCCACTTTTATTTTCTGTCTAAGCAACTGTATCAAGTCAATGGGTAATAGACTACTTCAAAGCAGAAATTGGCTTCATTTATTTCAAAGGAAATTATAAAATTTATTTACTCTGTATTTCATATGCTACAACAAGAAAAACATTAAAATTAATTGTACTTGCCCACCTTTCTCATTTATGCTCCAGGCAACTTAGGCAATAAAACTAAGCTAATGTGGCTGCAACTACCTTAGCATGTAGCACAGCTCAGTGGAAGTGGGTTTGTAGAATGAAATGGTTGGTGTTGAGATGATATCCATCTGCAATATGGGCATTTTGGAGGAAGAGAGTCTGACTTTAGAGTCGTGCTAACCTGATACACTGAGCTAAATGTCCAGTAGTGGTTGGAGCACATTAGATGCGCTCCTGAAATGCATATTCTAGTTTAGTTTCCTTGAAAGGGAATTCAGTTCCTGTGCTCCGAGATCACCGTGGTACGAGCCAGAACATAGTATGTAAGGATTTGCTGTAGAGATTTCCTCCCAAAATTTGGGAGATTCATTTCAGAAGCACACTCCTGGTCTGATCTGAAAGGCTCATGTAGATACACACAACATTTCCCTCTCATTTTGATAGATTTTTCATGCAGGTATCAATTTCTGCTTCTTATCCATTAAATGCTATCGTTTGGGCTTGTAACTCTGATTATTTACATGCAGATATGTTGTAATTAAATTTGCTTTTCTTATCTTGTAGGAAGCACTGTGCTCTGACTGTGATGCGAGTAGTGACTCCTCAGTCAACTCTAGCTTGTTTTGGTTTATGGCATCTGTGCAAAGTGATTGGCAATGCAGGGCACAACAGTGGGAGCAGACGGTGCTCTCTCCCAGCTCTGAAAGTTCGTTTTATAGTTAACAATCTGACTGGTGGCTAGAGAGTCATCCGTCAACTCCCTCCCCTGTCTCTGACTGTCTGTATGGCCTTGCATAAATCTGCAGCAGTTCTGCACAGCTCCGCCGCATCTACAACACGATTGCTATTGGCATATGGAGCAAAACTGATGTGTCCTGAAACGCTTCATATGTGCAGAATGGCTGGTTTTCACAATGCAACAGCTAAAGCTTCTGGAGACAGTAGATACCTGAGAACACACTGGTAATAACCCAGGGTGGTAGTTAGCAGATTAAAGCCCAAGTCAGCAGTGCTGGCAAGTCTGTTTAGGCTCTTAACTTTTATTGATTGAATGAGGAATTAGGTGCTTCAGTGCCTCAACAGTATGTCCCTCAATTCCCTTTCTTAGAAATGGGGATAAGAGCACTTTCACACTTCAGAGGAGTGGCCTGACAGAAAATTTGTTAAGGCAGTGATGTGCTTGGATGTGACAGTGATGAGGTCAGATGAGTTCCCTGTGCAGGTAGAAGGAAATATGTGAGACTAGAGTGGATCATGATTAACAACTTGCCTTAGAGGCGCAACCCAAAGTCAGTGACAAGACTCTTATTAACTTCAGGGAGCTTGGATCAAGCCCATTGATTTGTGCTTATTTCTGCTCTAGTTGCTGTAGTCCAAATTAATGCTGTGCTGTGATATTTTCAAATACCAACATAAACAAAATCCACTCAAGAAGGAAGTAATAAAAATAGGAAAATCATAATGCTTGAATCATAGTACTGAATTGATGAATGTTAACCATAGGAACATTGTCCCAGAAATTAGTCTGGTAAAAAGGAACCGACTGATAAGCATCACAATTAATTTTTGGCTTCAGAAGCTGGATAGGCTACTTAGTGACAGTAGATGCTCTATGTATTGACGTTTTGATTATAAATGATTTCTGTGTAGCTTCTATCATGCAATCTTCAGTTTAGAGGTCGCATCAATGATATGCTTGATGTATTTGAGCAAGCTAAATGAAAATAGGAATGTTTAATTCTAATAATGCATGTTTTCATCACAAGATTTCAAAAGTGAATCAGGGATACAAAAGGAGACTGTACCTTTATTCTACGATGGAAACATTGCCCTATTCTACGATAGACATACAGTGTGGTAACATAACTGGTCTATGATCACTCAGGATATTGAAGTTCAGGGATTTTGAAGAACCCCAAACTTCCAAGTCACAGGTCAAATTGTTATGTTACCACGGGGTTTTCTAGAGATAATTAAAACTGCTGGCAGTTCCCCAATAATGAAGGACATTTCCTGTGTAGATTATATGTGTATTTACACCTTCACACACAAAGTTCTTTAGCATCTTCTGTCTATCAAGACTTACAGCAGCCTATAATTCACAGGTAGTGAGTTAAGTTATATCTAGGTCTGCCCGCCTAAATGAAAGAAAGAGAAGGAAATGGAGTGTGTGATTTTTGCAGTGCCCAAGCCCAAATAGGAATTTGCTCTGAGAAATGCCAGGTGTGGATCCTTTCATTTCAGGCTTGTCTAAGAACAGAAATCAGAGTTTGCCATTTGCTAAGCAATAGCACTACTAGTACTAAAAATAATAATTAAAAAAAAAAATAAAAAAAAGGGCTAATGATTCAAGGCTTTAATACCTCCCTAGGCAAATATTCTTCAGAACTTTTCATTTTTGTCATTCATTGTGCCTCATTCCCATTCCTTAGGGGTATCACTTTGTTGCTTGCTGAAATACTGGAATGATCTCTTTCTGCTGCTCAAATCTATATATTCTTTCATGCAGAGACACATGAGAGGAGTATCTCATTATTCTCTCTGATTCATCAGCAGTGCAGACCAATTAATACCACAGTTAATGGGGAGAAGTAGCTACTACAACTGCAAGCCGTATATCTTCTGTCACTCCTGAACTAACACTCTTGGACAAAGCTAGGAAGTAACTTTACTATGCGGAGATTATTTTTGATACACTACCAAATCTGTAATTCACAGCACCATAGAAACTGGAGATGGAAAGAACCTAGCATGTTATCAGATGTGTTCTCCTGCCAAAGCAAGATTGCTTGTTGCAGACAGCCAGGTTATAACATTTCAGGCAATGAAACTGTCATATTCTCTGAAAATTCTGCCAGAGTCTAACAGACCTCACCATTAGAGATTATTCTCTGTGTGTGTGTCTCTCCTCTCTTTCTGTCTCTCTTTTTTTCTTAGCACCTAACTTTTTGTCTGCCACTCCAGCAGATCATTCATGAAAACCCTAGCAGTCCACTGTGGCTGTCTGGTAACTTAGTAAGTTTGCACTCTGCTCTTACAAAGTTCAGGTTTGATTTTTCAGATAACCTAAGCATAGCTTCTTCTAGGTCTGTTTTAACTAGTGGTAAAGTCATTCTGCTTATTTGATCACAGATTATGTGTTTATATACATAGCTGAAACATACTGTTTTTCTTACTGAAAGATTGGTATGCTTAGTTTTGACATTACATTGAAACATTTTGAAAGACATTTAATAAGCTTATGTGAAGTTTCTAGCTGTTTACTTTTTTTTTTTCCATCTGACTCCTCTTCACCACTGTATTTTCATCTTTCCCTTCCGTATAGATTATGCTGTTGACTGATCCAGAAGTTGAGAGCAGCTTATTAATCAGTTCTGATGAAGGGGCCACCTATCAAAAATACCGTCTGAACTTCTATATCCACAGTCTGCTCTTCCACCCCAAGCAGGAAGATTGGATCTTAGCATACAGCCAAGATCAGAAGGTAAGAAACATTGGCAGCATTTTGCTTTCTTGGCTTAGGAAGAACCTAGGGTTTCCCCATCCCTCTGTGTAACTGCTGCAGAGCATTCAGGACAGTCTTCGGGGTGATACCAGGACAGTCTTTGGAAATACCAAACTGGTATTTCCAAGCAAGAAACACTGAGTAAGCCTCAATGTAAAGGGCAAAGCAAAGGACATGGGAACGTACCATGTTCTTGGGGCCTAGCTCTCTATCACTGACCTGGCAGTCTGCACTTATTCATCAGTCCTTTTGGCAATATCATGGGACAGACAATGGATGGAGAAGACAGCTAGAATCCTTCATGATAGGAATAACAGCCTCTAATGAGACTTTTTGTCCTGTTATTTAACAATTCTCTTGCTCCAGCCTAGCACCAGCTCCAAGAACAGTATAAGACACTCCTTGTTCCTATCTGGTTGGCATATTTTCAAGTAGCCTTTGATTTTCTAAGAGAAAAGTAGCAGTGAATCACTTTCCTTTGAAGTCCAGTTCCTTCAGTATGGGTAATGCATCAGCCGAATAAATATGCTGTGAGATTTGCCTTGATGTTTTGCTGCCCAACTTGAGACAACAGAACAGGACTTTGACTATAAGAGACCTCATTGTTAGAACTTTTTGAAAATCAGGCACATCAATACTCACAAGTCAGTTGTCTTCCAGTGAAGGGCTTTATAGAACTCAATCTGTTTAGTTTATCAAAAGCAGATTGAAGGGGAACTATACTGTTGTGCATAAATATCTCCATGCGGGAAGACAAAACATATGAGTAAGCATTTTGATCTAGCAAAAAAACTTCTAACAAGAATTGATGGCTAGGAATCAATAGCAGATAAACATGACTGTGAAGTAACTAGCCACTGGAGCAAACTGCTCTGAGAAATGGCGGATTTCATATCCTGATGTTTTTTAATAAAACTGTAAAAAGACCAAAATAATTTGCTGATCACCCAACAGCAGTAAAAGAGTGAAATATCTTCGCGTCTAGTCTATAAGCCTTTATACAAAGTATTATAGTAGTCTCTCTTTGTTTTACATATGATGAATCTATGAGAATCTGAATCTAATCAATAATCAAAGTACTGGCTGAATTGTTCAGGTTATACATTAATGTAAATATTAACATAAAAGTTTGAATTCTATGATATTTTCCATCTGTGTATTTGAATTCATTTTGCAAACATCAAACAATTAATTTTCCTTTAGCCTAAATTATGCTTGTTGTTACTACTACTATAAGCTGGAGAAAATAAAGGCATAAGGAAGCTAAATAAGTAGGTAAGATCACAAAATGACTGTATGAAATTTTTTCAAATAGAAGTTCAGTTCTGTGCTTTAAAGTCAAACCCAGTATCCTTCCAGGACTGTACCTTGATATCCTTCCCAACTATGAGAAATGCATCTTGCCTGCCTAATTCTTCCTGTCGAGTCAATTGCATGCTATGTTTTTCACTCACCCCTCTCACAGCATTTTGTGGTGTGTACTGTGGTTATAATCTGTTCAGGGGAAGGTGCAGATTACATTGTTTCTGGCTGTTCAGTATGTAATTACACAAGGTCAAAATGTTTCCTTTCCCTTGTGGCTGTTGAATTCTCTGGACTGATATGAAACTGGACAGAATCCAGTCTCTGCTGTCTTTTAGGACCCATTGGAATGAAAGTTTGTGTGTGTTAGTAACAAGAAATTTATTACATGAGGATCAATAAAACTTTCAGTGGTAAATTTGTCAAATAAAAGTAGGATATAGTAGAAAATGAATTTCAGCTGTTGTGGTATTCAGCCTGCTCAGGAAATAATTCTGAATTAGAGCCCATACAGTTAATGCTCATCTAATTTATGGTAGATGGCTACCAGCAAGTATATTGTCACTATTCCATAGGAAACTCCCACTCTTCTATGGTATCCTAAAAACAAATCTGGATATGAGAACAAAGAGCCCTTTTGTGCGCTAACCTGAATTTATGGGCCTGGTGTTGGAGTTGTGTGTATGGGGTGTTTTTTCTGAGGCTGCAGGAGGTACGGTAAAATTTCTTTGTGTATGGCATTGATTAGCAAATTGGACAACGGTTGGTAATTAAATACTGTAGTTGCAAGAGAAAAATAATGTAGCACAAGGTCTGTAAATCTGTACCAATTAACTCTAAAATAGAATTTTAAAAGTACTCTGTATGGGTATGAGTCACAGGCGTGGTTTCTACTTAAAAGCCTAATGGACACATTTTCTGACTTCAGCAAGCTTTCGCCAAGAACTGTAGAGGGTAACCAACAGGCAAAGAGTATTAATCAGCTTGGACAAAATTAAATGTAACTCAAACATAAGGGTCAAGTTCAGCCTATGGCTAAGTGTAAATGACTCCCATTGGTTTCATGCTTGTATAGCCAAAGGCAGAATTTTCTCAGCGTAATTAAGAGGTCCTGCAGGTATTTAGATAATTGCAATGGGAGCTGTTGGGGTAATTTGGAACAGATGACAGTGTCATTTTCTATTTCACAATCTTGTGCTAAGGCTGTATTTAAGGAAAGAGAACCCATTACTCCTTGGCTTTCAGGCACTGGGTGCACACTCACTAAGAGTCACCTGAGGAAGCAAGGGAAACATATCTGGGGAGTAAGGAATTCACATTTTGATATCACTGACTTTGATGACACTGACTGTGGTCTTCTCAGTGGTGCCCAGTGACAGGACAAGGGCAATGGTCACAAACTGAAGCATGAGAGGTTTTAGTTGAGTATGAGGAAGAACTTCTTTACTTTGAGGGTGACAGCACTGGAACAGGCTGCTCAGGGGGGGTTGTGGAGTCTCCTTCTCTGGAGATATTCAAAACTCACCTGGACGATGTCCTGTGCAACCTGCTCTAGGTGAACCTGCTTTAGCAGAGGGGTTGGACTAGATGAACTCCAGAGGTCCCTTCCAACCCCTGCCATTCTGTGATTCTGTATGACTGAAGAGGCTGCGAAGGTTTTATTGATAGGGGCTGTTAAGGAGTAAGTTGGATTTTGACCAATTAGGGTTGTCTCAGCCATGTAATTTTGCTGCTGACAGCTGGGAGGGCAGTGAGAATCAACTAGAAAACGTATTCATGTCCTTCTAGCAAGTCACGTCATTGTTGCCATTCGTTTACATCTTGTCATTGAAGCAGGTGGGACCCAGAGAATCAGGTGGTGAATAGAGCAAGAGCTGGAGACACAAGAATTACTTTGGGTCTGGACTATTTTGTTTCTCAGAAGTTGTCCATCCCATTCAGGACTGATGAGGGCAAAGCCAACAGTTAGTGCATGCCTCTTGTTGCTCAGTTGTAATGAACAAGAAATGGGTCACATAGCATCATCCCACAGTCTCTTCACAGCCCACTGAATCTATCGCTATGATAAGTACTACAGATCTTTTTTTATTTGGCTGAATAGGGAGTTACTCAGTGGTAGGGAAATCTGTGTTAACTGAAGTCATTTTATGTCCTAGTTTCTTGGGTGTTGTGTTTGGGTGAATGTGGTTAATTACTGGGGTTCAGCTGATGAGCAATAACTCATTAAGCTTCAATGACTTGGTTGCTTTTGTTCATGTATTTCTCCCGTGTGTTTCTGCCTTGGGCAGCAGACTTGAATTACCACTGCTGACAGACCCGTCCCTTATTCAGTCCTGACTTTTTCCTGCCAGTCTTGAGAAAAAAAAGAGCAGCAAACCATCTGCCGCCTGCACTAATTGCTTCATGATTGCATTCATTGTTCTGGCTGAAAGTACAGTTGTTACATGGCTGATTCTCACCACGTAATTGCAGAACTACTGCATGCTTCTCCATTTTCCGTGTAAGAGGAGTTACAAATCAGGAGAAAACTTCAGATACAGTAAAGCATTGCTTGTGTGGCAAAAGCTTGTTGGAGGTCTTGTACGTGTGAGCTCTTGTGGGTTTAATCAGCTTGCCTGTGGGCTGAGGGGCTGTATTTTATGGGAGTATTGCTTATGTATTACTATGTAATCTTCAAAAGTGGTTTGCTGTGTAATCAGGTGGGATGTAAGAGCCTCTGCTTCATGTGGAGACATCTTCTGCTATTCAGATGGGTCAGACACACAGAGGAATGGTTAGTAATCAGCCATGAATAACAGAGCTATTTAGAGAGATGAAATACAGGTGAAATTGGGAAACACAAGTCAGACGGGCAAAATGCAGGGTTGTAATTGCCCAGCTCAGGAATAAATGCACAAAAGCACTCAAGCACTGGAAGACAGCAACAGAGGCTGAAAAAGCAGATTTAAAATGGAGTTGTTGTTGTTGCTTCTCCTCTCTAATTTTAGATGAACTCTTCAAAAGCAAGGCATCCCAGACTAAAGGAGCTCTGTCAACACAGCACTAGTAAATGAAGAGGTTTATATTTCCTTTTTTTTTTTTATTTTTTTTTCATTTTGGCCTTTCCCAAATATCTGATTCCATATGTCTGTCTATATTTACCATGTGTGTCACAATGGAGATCAATGAGTTAGGGACTGGTACTTGGCTGTATAGTATAGCTAAAGTGCCGAAGTTTAGCAAATCAGGATTCTGTTTCTTGTGGGACAACATATCTTCTGTCATCAAACCATGTTGTCATCTTCAGATTCCTGCAGTAAAAGAGGTCCACTCCTCATGCATTCAGGTGGAAGAGAAAGATGTTCATATATCAGGGATGACAGAGGAACCACTTAGAATAGAGTTAAGGATGCATGTGGCCACAGAAAGTCCATGTGAGAGAACAGGCCAGCTCTTAAAAGTAACTTCAAGCCTCATCTATCTGTGTGTTTGGTCTAATGCTTGTGTCTGACAGTTCAGTATCTGCCATAGATGTAGCAAGTATTCACTCTTCAAGATTTGATGGACTGTTTTGGATGCACTTCATAATTCTAAACCCCTTAATTTCACTGCATTAGGATCTAATTTTGAGGATGACCCTGCTTGGAAAAGGGTCAGACCAGGGACCCCCACAGGTTCCTTTCAACCTAAATTATTCT